CTTAATTTAATCATCCATGCTAATACGTTTCACATCATGATAATATTAATTCGATAAATAAAAAAAATCGCATAACCTTATACATATTTTATAAAAGTAAAACATACACATCAAGCTACGTTCTCACATTTTATAGTAACCAATTACTAAACCTGTAATGAGGATGAATGAATTGAAACATTTTCCCTGTGAGATGAATATCACACAAATAGCAAAATATAAGTATTTGTACAGTAGTAGATGTGAACCAAATAAATTTTTTTAAGCATGAGCATATGTCATGCTTCTAAAGAACCAGCTGATCATGCATCAGAGACCAAAGGCTAACGAAGAAAGAAAAATCTAGGTAAGCTAATGACAATGTGATCCAAGGCAAGGAAGAAGATGCATCAACAGATCAATGACTAAGGCTCACTATAAATGACAATTAATTTCAGTTTGTTTCTTTTTTTGTGGTTTTTCTTTTCTTTTTCTTTTTTTTATTTTGCAAATAGGGGGCCGGTCATGTAAGATTGAAAAGAGAATATTTTCATTGTCAAAATGCATTTTAGAATCTTATCAATCATTCATGCTAAATTAAGGATTTAAGAAAAGCAATTAAAGATTTAATTGAATCCTTCAAATTGGAGTACCAGTTATGCAAAGATGGTGAGGGGCCAACATTATAATCCTTAAATAAATTTTTATGGAGAGAATGGTTTATTTTCTTGAGTGTTTTCCTCATTTTCTACAGTATTTCATTTATTATTTATACCTTTCTTGTTCAATAAAAAATATCTTTGTTCTCTAGAAAAAATTGCGTGCTACTATTTTTTGTTGTGTTGTCAACTTTTATATTTATTTGCAAACTAAGCATAATTAAGGTTCATGAAACATTTCTCCATCTCTAGACTTTTTCACTTACATCCCCAAAACTTCCCAAAGCCATAAATTACTTCAACAATCACAAAATCATTCCCCCTTCTAAAAAACCTTAACTTCTGTTATCTATCTATTGATACCAATCACCATAAAAATTCATAGCTTCCTATTTATAATATGCAGCGATATAAACATAGGGACACGAAAACAATTTGTTGTGAACACAAGACCTGGTTATCATTGAAAATAGAAGACATAGACATGCCATTATAATATTATAACTTAAAATTTTTTAAATTATATATTAATTATACAAATTAAATGAATATGAAATAAATACATATAATAATAATTTTTCAATTGCTCATTAATTAAAATATATTTAAATTCATTAAGGACCTTATCCTCAATTGAAGAAGAAATAAATGCATGATACTATTGATTGTTGGCTTGAAGTTAAAAAATTAATTCTTTAAAAGAAAAAATCATGGTAAAAAGGGATAAATATGAAACATAAAATTAGTATTAAGTAGAGGTTAAGTTATTTTAGTGATATCTTTTAAAATAAAAGAGCATGTGTGTCTAGCACACTTGTCAAATATTTATTTTTTAGTGGTCACGTGAATGGTGTGCCTGACACATATCAAGCACATGTTAAGTGACTCATAACATGTGTCATCTTGCGAAGTGACAGCATCATAACTTTTTATCCATATAGCCAACTCACCTAAAATTATCTTCATAAGTTAACCTACCAACATCACAAACCATTGATTTAGAGGACCTCACCTTTTTTCATCAAAGATAATCTCGCCATCTATAACAAGAAAATAAAAAATCTACCTGGAAACCCTAAACTCGTCAATATTTTTTCTAATTTTCTACTAATTTTAACCCTTCCACCACCTCTCTACCCTTGAAACCTATTAACCACCTCCTCGTCATAGTGAATTGTTTTGTCCAAGAGAATTGAAAAAAGGAATCAAAGTTAAAAAACAGCTAAAATGTTTATCATTCAACCCATGATCAAAAATGATTCTAGAATCACAACAATAAACACAATGTGAGAAATTCAGCTGGCTGGAAACACATGGAAATTGGAGATTACTATGTCATCTTTATTCCTATTAATTTTCTATATTTCTCCATTTTTTATACAAAAACAAGTGAAAGTTAATACATTCTCCTTAGAAGCATGTGCACGAAAGCATCTCCTTATGACAAGAAGAAAATATTCTTTAGTTGTTACAAAACTATCAAAAACTTATACGACTCACCTGTACCATACATAAGAATGTGAAACATAAGTGTGTTCCTACATCTACTAGCCAGAAAAACACAAGCATGCTGCAGTTAAACTGAAATGTAGCAAACAACTAGTACAATATTTCCCAAAATTTTGCAAAATATAGTTCTTACTTTGTGTAAGATTCAAATCATCCAACTTCATGCAAACCCTATTCCATCAATTTACAGCATCCAAAACAACTTACCTTTATAGTAGAATGGAATAGCTTTGCCTCTTTCACTTAGTGATGCGTAGCATTGTCCAATATTTAGATTTAAGGTGGCCTGCTCAAAAAAGAACGTGCAGAGAATTAACAAAAATACAATGTATATTTATAATATGCACTAAAAGATTGCATTCACAAACGTTTATTTAGGACTTTGGCCAAGCAAACAAAATAAAAGGCTCAAAGTCAGACAGGATTTTGCTCAAATTTTCATCGAACGTGTTAGCTAAAACATTCAAAATCAAATGAAACAAATTTTATTAATGAGTATCAAATCAGTTTCTACTGAAACCACTAAAACTTAAAATCATGAGCAAGTACCTTAAGGAATACTTTAGTCATTTGAATATAGGACTATTAATATAAATTCATAGTAGAGGTCATTGGCAATCATTTTGTTATGAATGAATGAAAATTTATGCTTCATTTAAATTATAGTCAAGACTGGTGTCCCCTCTTGCATGAAGCAAAGTTTAAAATTAACCCCACATATACACTACCCTCTTCTGCCCTCTTTGTTATTCCATTTCAACTCTTTAGCATTATATGAATAAGGAAATAAAGGGAGCTACGTTGCCTCCATTGTAAAACTGACAATGATGGGAGGGCAGCCCGCAGCAATCAAAAATAATAATAATAAAAACTTATTGTGCGAGTGCTACAATAAACACTTGATGGTTATCGATAGAATAATGAGGTGTTCTTCAAGCTTAAGATATCCTCTCTCACTTACTTCCCCCTTCTTTGTTGTATCCACCTCGATGTTGTCAAGCAAGAGTTCATCAGGTTCTAACGATCCTCATAAAGCTTAAACTAACGGCCACCACCAATGCCTGCCTTTCATGGCAAGGGTAGCAAGGCTTCGATAAAAACATCACCTCAACTCTCAAGTTGAGAATATTCAATATCTAATAACCCCTATGGAGCTAGAACCATCAGAGACACAAATACAAGGATTTTTTGGCATGGGAGACAAATACCCTCGAGCCTCGACACTTTAGGCAACACATGTTCCCATCTTTCTTGGAAAGTGTAGGAAGCCCTAGTAAAATTCCTACGCCTCAAAGAACTTCCATGCCTCCACCAACTTCAACAAAATTAGGTTGTACCAAGCCAAGTCAAGTAGGAACCCTCCTTTAACACCAACATTACAAATATACAACAACAATAACATCAAGCCTTTGTCCCACTACATGGGGTTGGCTACATGAATCCTTTTTCTCCATTATGTCCTGTTAAAAGTCAAATTCTTGTTTAAACTGATAAAGAATGATCATTTCTAACATTTTCTAACCAAGTCTTTTAGGATTATCTCTACATTTCTTAACATAAGTCAAATCTAATACCTCTACTTTCCTAACCGACTTATCGGAAGGCCGTCGTTTTATGTGACCAAACCATCTAAGGCGACTCTCCCAAATCGTATCTTCCACTGATCTCACTGCTTCCTCATCTCCTAAGCATTTCCACACCTCTATTGAAATATTACTGGGTCCAATAGCTTTTCCACACTTCATTTTCTTTAAAGCCTCTCTAACTTCAATTTTACTAATATGTCAATAAAAATAAAAATCTCTATTTTTATTTAGAGTGCTAAGGTCACTAAAGAATTTTAATATTTATTCGTTAAAAGGTTTAGCAAAATATCTCAACCACCTTTATTAAATATCATCTTTTAAGAAAAGTACTTTTTGATCTTCATCCTTAATACACTTCACTTGAACTAAATCTTTACTACTCTTATCTCTTTGTTTGCTAACTTATACGCAATGTTTAAAATTGCGTACTCAGGTATTGAGGTGTTTTTCGTTCGTGAGGTAAGGTGTAAGCCTCAAGATGTTTTGAAGCATAAGCCTCAAAATCAAAAGATTGCATAAAAAAAAATGATAAACTTTTTATATACTAATGAGTAATTAATATAAAACATAAAAAAACATAAGATATGCAGTGAAATAAAAATATCCCAATAATAAGACAACATGAAATATAGTCAACTCAAAATTCTATCTTTCCAAAATCACATTATTCTTTTCATTAATATATAATTCCAAAAATAAAAATAAAAAAATAAAAAAACATATAATTCCAAAAATGAATAGCAATGACATATCACATAAGAACTCATACAAGTCATCAGCACTGTCATCACTAAGGGGGTCTTCATTTGAATCATCATTATGATGAATTGTTCTCTCCCCTTCCTCCTCTCCTATAGAGTCCAATGTCTCACAATCAACTCCTTCTCAATATCAGTTATCTTACTCCCACAAATATTAGGTTAGGATTTTTTTTTAATTTTAAGAGGCGGATGCCTCTAAAAGCTGAGGCGAGGTACGCCTCAAGGAGCGCCTTAGTAAACTTGAGGCGTACACCTCATTCCGTGCTCTCATTGCGTAGGCTTTGAGACTTAAAAGAATGAAATTGCGCTGAGGCGCGCCACTTATTGCGCAATTTTAAACCATGCCTATACATATATCATTCTCTCTCCTTAGTAACTAATCTATTATATAAATCATTAAAAGCTAAGATCTTTACATCGCATATTGCTTTCTTAGATTTTTTTACGTACCTCTTTATATTTTTCTCAATTATCAAAAATTTTACATCTAAACCAATTTGTATAACAAACCATCTTTTTTATCTTTTCTTGTACATTTAGATTCCACCACCAATTTTTTTTACTATTAAGAGTTTTTTTCATTGATACTCCAAGCACATCTTTTGCAATATTCTTAATATCACTAGCCATTTTTTTCATATAATATTAGCATCCTCATTAAAAGATAAAATCTTAAGATCTAAAATTTTACTCTCAAAAATATTTTTGTTAATATTTTTTAAATGCCCCCATATAATCCTAGAATATCATTTTACTTTCTTTTTTATTTCAGCTCATTTATCTTAAAGTCATAAATTAATAATAAATGTTGGGTATATAAATTTTCACTCAGAATAATTTTGCAATATTTGCAATCTAAATTATTTAATTTTCTTATAAGAATATAATCAATCTGAGTGTTAATATATCCATTTTTATAAGTGATGAAATGCTCATCTCTTTTCCTAAATAATGAATTAGCAATTAAAAAATCATAAGCTAAAAAAGATCTAATATGGTCTTACCACTTTCATTTGTTGTTCCAAACCTATAGCCGTCATGAATACTTTTAAAATCATCTACCTCTCTACCAACATATCCATTTAAATCTCCTTCAATAAAAATTCTTTCTTCAAGAGATATATTTTGTATTAATTTTTCTAAGTCATTTCAAAATTTTAATTTTGAACTCATATTCAAACCTACTTGAGGAGCATAAACACTTACAATATTAATAATCCTACCATCAACAACAATCTTTAAAATTATAATTCTATCCTAATTTTATTAATGTTTATAACATTATCCTTCAAACTGTTATCTATTATCACACCTACAACATTTCTAGTTCAACTCCTACCCAAATACCATAGTTTAAATCATATACTATCAATCTCCTTAGTCTTCTCTCCAATCCATTTAGTTTCCTGAATGCACAGAATATTTATTTTCCTGTGAATCATAATATATATTAATTCCATTAATTTTTCTGTAAGGGAACCTATATTCAAAATTCTTCCTAAATTTAGTTTCATTGACTAGCTTCTTTTCGCACATCCGTACTTGATGCGAGAACCCTTACCTATTTAACATTGCACCGGAGCGCCGGTGCAGCAACCCTTGCACACTTGTCTCTATATTCAGGCCATACAACGTGTCTCTTCCAGGGGGCACCCTAGCATTAACACAATTTTTTAAAGGATTCATGTCATGATTATTCAACAAGTTTTACGCTGGTTATCGACTACGTAATACAACCCTCTACTCTTCTCATCCAGGACTAAGGACCTAGCAACGGCAGTGTTACCAACATTTAAAATATAATAAAAATAAATTGAAAAATGTAGTATACAAGCTCTTTATCAATAATCTGCATAATCAATTAAAAAAAGCTCTTTATCAATAATCTGCATAATCAATTAAAAATAAAAAAGCTCCTTGTCAGTTAATTGTCAAACAACTCCCATAAAGCATTCTTGCACTTTATCAAGCACCTAAATGATTTGCCCACTCCAAAGAGGAAATGATGTGTCATAATCAATGATCCTAATCTGATCAATGAAGAACAGTGTCATATATTTCTGATTGTTCAGCATCATGTGACCAATTACTGTTGAACCAAGTCACCAAAGAAGCTTCCTTATGCCTTGTGGCATGACATGACAACATGCAAGTTCAGATGACATCGCATGAACTTACTACATCATTAGGTCAGCACCAAATAAGCAATCATACCACATAAGAGATCACCATTTATTGAGCCTAATACTTGATAAATTGAAGCCTCTACACTTTCTAAAATAATTTTAAAAAATAATAAAAGATTACAAAAAATGCCTATAGGGCTTCCTTCTAGACCCAAAAAAAAAATCTAACTCCTAAGATTTTGCCACAATAGTCCAGTGCTTTATAAAATTTCAAAATATCCAAAAAAAAGAAAGGTAAAACAATGTAAAAATGGGTAAAACATTTTCGATAAAAGAGGAAAATTCATATAGGAAACATTTGCATCTATGTGTGAAGTTGAAATAGCCAATGCATTTTACAATGAGGATAGTTAAATCATTAGGCATGTAATCACTTAAAACGCTCAACAAGCTTAAAATAGCTACCCAAAAAACCAACGGGCATGTAGTTAAATGGTTATTTCCCCTTGCCTCAAAAACATGAGGTACGAGGTTCGAAAACTCCAAAATAAAATGTCATTTTAACTGATTGAGTTTCTTCTTCAACTAGAAACTCAATCCATTTTGGACAGTGATTAGCACTCAAACATCGAAATCATGCTCAATGCAAATTACTATCTTGATCTTAACTAACATAATAATGCCCATGAGAATCAAAATAGATAAATGGTAAATTCTCAGGTATACACAAAAAATAAAGCACGGGTTCATGGAGCAACCAAGTTCTCAATAGAGTTTTGCTCCTCCAAAAAAACAACATATAAATAAACAAAAACATTTCTATATATCAAAATCAACAATTGGTGGGTTATTCCATAGCAATACCAATAAGCATGGCAAACATTTTAAAGCCCCTAGATCAACTACTATGATAACAACATCACATTAAAAGAAGTTACGAACAAGAATGTACATCGAATGTCTAACACAAACCCTAAGTAAATAAACGTTGATCCCTCAATAAGACGTACTAAAAATATAATCCACACCTACAAGGCACTATGAACATAAAAAAATACAAATAGTAAAAAAATTCAAACTACCGCTATCTGCTTTGAACTACTAACCATCCACCAAACTGCTAAATACTTGTCAAGAGATTTAAGTCAAAATCAACTAAAGTTCTAAAGCTTAAAAAAAAAAAGGTAATGTCATATTAGCATGATCAAAGTAATCACTCTTAATGCAAACAAAAACAAGGACAATATAAAAACAACTGATATATATGGTTACATCTAAAATATGCCTCTAAACCACAGAGTTAGATACTTTTTAGAAAATCAAGTGTACTCCAATAGCTATGCTTAGGAGCGTGAGTCATTTAAGCATCTAATGCGGCAACAAGAACTTTGCTAGAAGAAAGCAATGATAAAAATAGGCCTCCTTGGCACACAAACATTGAGGTTTCTTAGATGAGTTAATCTTTGGTTGTTAAATAGGCTCACCAGGTCAAAGATCTTAACAAGATTCTGAATGTCTTTTGAGCATCTCGATTGGGGCCCTCCCATCATATTCTCATAATGGAACCATAAGACTAAAGTTCTATCACCCCCTTAGAAAAAAAAATTGTAAACATAAAAGTGTGATCCATTTAAGTGGCAAGAAAAACTTCAATAGGGGAAATCATTCGCAATGTGAAATACATTCAAATTCTAAGAAATTTTTAACCAAGGGTAATCTCTCACAATTGAGAGGGGAATTAATTATATGGGTTGCACCCATTGGAAGCCATAAATCATGGATATAAAATCATCTATTGGAGGAGATTATCATTTAAGGTCCACATACAACAACAGCACAACACTTAAAATCAATAAAAACAAGCCACAAAATCATCTCAAATAGCCCCTCTATGCCAATCCAAAGTCAACCCTAGCATAATATATCTTAACATTAACCATATCCTACTGTAGAATGTATAAATTAAATTTTCTCCAATAATCTATCTAATAACTTAAATCACAACTGAATAGATTTTCTTCCTTGCATCAAGACTACAGAGATATATAGTAGACCTTCCACTTTGCATTCCCTCAATTTTGTTTTTTATCTGGAGTCTAATATTAGTCATATAGAAATCATCCAAAGAAAACCAAAAGTTAATTCATGCACTATTTAAAAAATCTATGTTCAGTCCTAAGTAAAGTATTATGGGCCCCTTTCCTAATGAGATGAGCTAGGAAAAGGAGCTCTGCTGACTCCTACAACTAGGGGTGTAAACGAGTCGAGTCGAGTCAAGTTTAGACTCTTATCGAGCTCGGCTCGTTAGATGGAAAGCGAGCTCGAACTCGAGCTCGAGCTCAAGTCGAGCTCGTCTCACTGTAAACGAGCTCGTCTCACTGTAAACGAGCTCGAGCCGGCTCGCCATCCATGGGCGGGAATTTTTAAATTTAGGTGGGATTTTTAAAAATTAGGCAGAATTTTTAAAACTTAAGCGGGATTTTTAAAACTTTGATAAAATTTAAAATATATATATGAAATGTTTAACATTTAAATAAAAATTAGGTTATTATTATTTTTTTAATATTTAAATTTAATAAATAAAATAAATTTATTTTAAAAATATTAATATTTATTCGAGCCGGCTCGCGCTTATTTCCTAAACGAGCTCGACTCACGAACTCGATAAGCTCAGCTCACGAGCCCATAAACGAGTCAAGCTCGAGCTGGCTCGCGAGCCAGCTCGGCTCACTTACATCCCTGCCTACAACAGCCTAAGAAGAAAAACATGAAACACTCATCCCATCTATGAATAGAGCTCGTACATCCAACACTAGCTCCATCAAAACTTCTTTCATCATTGACCAAAAGCAAAACCCTAAAATTTTTCTTTCCCAATTTATGCATTTTCTTCTTTAAGCTACCTATTGTCTTGCATGTAGTTTCTAGAACTCCATAAGTTTGTATAACTTTTCTCTTCTTGATGTCACTTAAACACATGCCAATAAATTTCAAAACAATTATATATTTTTCATAGAAATTGACAATCTGAGGAAAATGAAAATGAAATTGAAAAATGCATGATGGGATGAATAATAGCCTATTTTGTGTGTGCGATGAGTTATAGTTATGGTGACAACTCAAATAAAGACCACTTCAGTGATGACTGATAGTGTAGATGATTTTTGAGTTGTCAATTATTTCAACTTTCATTAGGAATTAAATGTAAAAGAGTAGGGAATTAAAAAAGAATAAATTTATAGTTGAACTTGATGTTATATGATATATTTATACAGTTTCTATATTTAATATTATTTATCTCTTATAATAATTGAATTTCAATTCTATTTCACATAATTTATCACTTATCACTTTATCTCTTTTGCAATTTTTGTTTCATATGAATGTCAATTTATTAATTCATATTTCAATAGAAAATTAATATGTCATTATTTAACAAATTATTTAGGTATTATATAGAAAAAACACTTTTGACCTTTATTTTCACTTCAAACAATTTTTTTTTTTTTTTTTTTGGGGTTTTTTTTTTTTTTTGAGGCTTATGCCTTAAGGCTTACGTCTTGCCTCATGAACAAAAAACGCCTCAAGTTATATTTTCACTCATCTTTGCCTAACGCCTTTTTAAGATTGATGACCAGCGCACTCTCAACATCGACAACAAACGCCCTTTTAACATTGACGCCCGATACTTATTGCATAACATCGATGCCCGACTCTCAACAACATTGTCATCTCTTCTCCCGATGCCTGATACACAGCATCAATGTCAGACTTCATCCTAATATTAATCATTTTAAGCACAAATTATAGTTAAATGACTTATTATTCCTAAATTAATTTTAATATTATACATATTCAATTTTTATACACTATTTTAAAATAAAAAAATTATAATTCCGTGTCAAGCACATGTCCGTGTCCTCTATTTTCAATAATTAATGTGTCCCGTGTCTGTGTCATGTCGTATACGTGTCGTCATGTCCGTGCATCATAGATATGCATATATGTGTATGTATATATAGTTAGCTTCTCATTTGATTCATAAATTTATTCCTCGCTTGTGCACAATGATATTCATTGTCATCTTACATGTCCCTTTTCTTCATATGCTTACACGTAAGTGGAATTTTGATTCAATCTCATGCAACAATGAAATTTTGATTCAATCTCTTGCAACAATGACCGAAGCAAGATGGGTACTATGTTTATTGTTTTTAATGTCCCAAAAAAGTGGCGGAATGGGCAAATAGCAGCTACCATAGCATATAGATGAGGAGGAAGATAAGAGTATATTTGATATCACAAATAATTACATGATGAAATTTGAAATCGAATAAAACAATTTTAATGCAAACTAACCAAATGATAAAGATAATTTGTGGCTTCAAAAAATAATAAACCACAATTTACCCTTGCTTAGAAGACCACCCAATTTCATGAAACTAATTCTTTTTAACTCTTTATAGCATGTAAGAATAAACTCTTGATGAGTGATTTGCATAATTTTAAGTAGCAAAATCTAAAATGAACAAAATTGTACTTATTCATAATGTTTGTATTTTAACATTGTAGTTGTCAGATCACAGCCTTATATTAGAAAAGTAGAGTCTTACATTATGTAGTCGACAACCAACATAAAACTTGTCGAACAATCATAACATGAATCCTTTAATACATAGTTAATGTTTGCATTTAATCAACTGACTTGAAAAAACACAAATTTTGTGCATTTCTATATACATTTAATCTGTATTATTGATATGTATGATAATGCCAATGAAGAGACGAGGCCTTAAGGGTAAGAACAGTGGTATGGTTGGCTTTCATGTTGTTCTTTAGTCTTATACTTGAAGAGCTTGGAGGATTGTTCAGTAGAAACTAGTAGGTTAATGCTAAGAAGATTTACAAGCTACACTATGTGATGCAACTCTGTGTTAAATAGAAGTAATCAGGAGAAATTTCAGTTGTGACAGGCTGAAAACCAAAAGGTTAAGTTGTGATATGCCCAAAAATTCTGTCACGGAGGAGAACTGAGCCCATCTAAAACTGTTGAGGTAAAAATATTAAATAATTGGACATGAGAATGAAAACCTTTTAAACATGCAACAAACTTGAAATATTCTCAGAAGCAACATCTATCTCAAGCAAATTTGTAATAAGGGGAACTTTTCGTGATTCATAGAATTCGAAATAATAATAAACTACCAGTTATATGTTAAGGCCAATACAAGTAGCAACACTACTTGTATAAATAACCAGTTTAAGATGAACGAATGTTGTTAAGTTCCATTGGCAAATAATGTCGGTAAGACAAGCTAATTGAGCATATATCCAATCTAGTAAAAAACAAATAATAAGTTATTACCCCAAAAAATAATAACTAAACTGCACGCAAAAGGAGGATGTGAAGAATGTAAAAGATGAATAAACTTACTTTTTCATTGTCGAAAGTTCTGGAAAGTATGAAGTACAGGTTTAAAGCATAGTGGTACTGACCAAGAGTTTGAAATGTGTTAGCAACTTCATTAACCAAATCATAGTGGTCTTCAAAATTCCCAATTCGCAAATCTTGAAGAAAATCCTGAAAAAAATTAGTTATTACTTACCATATTATAGCCCTTAAATAAAAATAGACATTTTAATAATGGTACGATAACTTGTTTTTGACGAAGAGTAGTCTAGCAGCGATAATATACATTGTCACAGCAGTTTGTGACACTGGGGTAATGGAACCAGTGGGTCGACAGGAAATATTTGTAGCACATAAGTGAAAGCCAAGACTAAAGAATTAGTGATGAATATCAGGTGAAACAAAAATAAAACAAAATGGAACAATGTCTAAAAGTATGCTTAAAAGCTTAAATAAACCATACTTTTAGACAAAGTTGAAGACTGAAACTTCTCAAGGTAAGACAGGCTAATCATACCTTGGCTATTTCCATGTTCCCAAGATGAGCATGGCAAATTGCATTTCTAGCTTTCAAACATAATGGCAACTCTTTGTCTGGTCCAAAGGCTGATTTTGCCTTTTCAATCAACTGGACAGCTTTATCATATGAACTATTTTCCATGTTCAAGGAAATCAGCTGGTCAAAAATGCTTATATCATCTTCAAAAGGATAATCATTAACATAATCCTCTAAGACGCCAATAGCTTTTTCCAGCTGGCCACACTTTTGATACATCTGAAAACAAAAAGAAAATAAATAAGTAGGCATTCCTGCCCAAATAAATTAAGCATATAAAAGTTTTAAAAAGAAACTTAATATTTCCACCCCTCTCTAGTTGTATTCCTCAGTTCGTTAAATACAAGTTTCAAGTTTTTCTGGGTTTGAGGTTTGAGCGAGGATTTCCAGTTTGTGGAGAAATGAAGAGGGAAGGAGGTCATAGTAGAGGATTCATCCTGATTTCTTGAAGGGTAAAACCAAGGCAACGACGTGGAGAGTATTTGGGAGTTAGAGGCAGGTATATTACATCTCTACAGCGGATGGTGGTTCTAATTCCTGAACAGTGGCTGCATCAGGAAATCCTTGAGGTTTTCAAGATGGAAACAAGGCGGAAAGCTGTTGTATGGGTGCCAGATAACCTCCCACCCAGAAAGGAACTAAAGTTGAATGGATCAGCCAGCTATTCCAAGGTGCCGATAGCCTTCTAGCCAACAAAAATAAATGTTGATCATGGTTCTTGAGTTCTTTTATTTTTCTCAGTCAAATTTTTGTAATCTTTTCTCATCTATCGCTTGATACCAAGGTTTATCACAGCCTTGAAAAATGCTGAAAAAGAGGATTTGCCAATGTTCGACTCAAGAAGTCACAATGGAGGACTTGCAACAAAAAATTCAGCATTCGCAACAACACCTTGCGATGAGTGGGCAGCAAGGATGAGATGTTCAATCCTTCAACTCGGAAGACAATCAAGAAAGCCCAGAGATGGAGAATCCTTTCCATTAATTGCTAAAAGAATCAGAAGAAGAGCAGTATAAACAATTTTCAAGGGAACCTAAAACGATGATATCAAGAATTTGGAGTGAAGGCAGATAATTTATACTTTAAAGGTAACTTGAATCCAAATGACTTCATAGATTAAACACACATTAAGCACGTATTTGACAACAAAGAAGCATCAGCCGATCTGCAATTTGAGTTGGTGACCAACAAGATAAGAATGATGTCTCCATTTGGTGGGATAACCTTCAAAAAATCAAAACCAGGAAGGCAAAAGCAAAAACATCACATGGGAAAAGATTAAAGAGTTGCAACGAAGACACTTGCTCTTTTATTTTTTTTCAAGATGCCTTCCTTAAACTCGATAACTTTCAGCTGCTTTGCTGAAGTGTGACATATCGGAATCAAAGGAGCATAAATTTACAAGATTCTTGGGCAGTATGCGGCCTGCAATAGCCTCAGCAATATTGGACTTTTTTTACGTCATTAAACTTGCAAAAAAGGGTGGAAAGACGGCAACAAACTTCCAAGAATTTGCCACCAAGATCTATACAATAACCGCATGAAACTGACAATGAGTTTCATGTAAAGACAAATCATTTCCCACCTCAAAATATTTCATTCGATGGTAGCAGAAAATAATAGCAAGGTAAGTACTTCCACCAACAAAGCTCAACTACTAAGATGTTTTAAATATTTGGGGTTCAGCCATTATGTTTCTGATTGTTGCAGTTAACAAGTCTTTTTCCTCGCTGAAAAAGCAGCTCAAGAGAATGATGACGAGGAAGAATTGCCATAACTAAAAGCAGAGCATTTGTTGCAAGCAGATGAACGTGAGTTGCTCGTTGTCCAAAAAGTTTTGAATGTCACCATCAAGAAAGAATTAGCTTGGCTATGCCAAAACATGTTCTATAGCCAATGCACCATTCAGGGTAAACGTGCAAAGCCATCATCAATGGAAGAAGATGCAAAAATGACATTTCAACTAAAATAGCAAAGAAGTTGATCCTTCTAACAGAGATCATCAATGACCTTACAAGCTCTCTTGATTGTGAAAGGGAAGCGAAATCAAGGAGGCAACACTGTTTTGTGCAATTTATCATTGGACAGAAACTTGAAGGCAAGGTCTGGTTTGGTGTTATTTGGACGGATTCTTGTCACTTTCTGGGAGGGAACAGAAGACACATAAACGTTGAAGCTTGATAATGAGCGGGTGAAACTCATGCCACTAAAGACAAAGCTAAAGAAGTTGTGGAAGGCATGACGGTGTCTAAATTCATGTTTATAAGAGCTATGTAACACTCAGAGTTTGCCTATGCTCTGGTGGTTCTAGAAGAAAATCAAAAGAAAAAAAAATAACAGGTGCCAAAGGAGGTCCAATCATTGTTGCAACAATACCCAGATGTGATTCATCCAAACTTCCAGCAGATCATGAAGCCCTCAAGTACCTTTACAGCCAAAACAAACTTTAGGGTAGGCATGCCTAGTCAGTTGAATTTCTTCAATCCTTCAAATACAAAATAAAAAATACAAATCGAGTGTCCAAATAAAAATTAGTTGTTACCCTAAGCCAAAGCAATACTCTCCTAAGTATTCTCTAGTTGAAGGTGGTTGGGTTTGAGATCATCAAAAGAACTTTATCCCCACAAAGATTTCTGTAAGAAGTGAGAACAAATGTCAAGACTATACAATTTAACATTTCCAACTTCAAGTTTAGACCATTTTGAAATCTAACATCAAACATAATAGTCCAAGCATAAAATAAAAATGCTTAGAAGATTGACTTCTCAGAGGTATACCAACTTATCAACAACTTCTACATCGTAGATCCCTCACTTTATTATGAGCAAAAAATGGTTCAAGACTTAAGGATGAGTCTTCTTCAATTTGGGGAGAATGGCAGTTTAATTTTATTTTTTAAAGAATTCTATATAAAGTTTTTTTTTTTTTGTAAGGGAATGTTTTTTATTTTTTTTAGAAGAGTATTTTTAGAATAACATTGTCGTTGTCGAGTCTCAAGCCCTAGATAAAAAATGTGGAGGGTTGTGTTAAGTAGTTAACAGCCAATGTAAAATTTATCAAACAATCATCACATGAATTATTTAATACATTGTCTTAATGCTAGGGTGTTCCCTAGCAGTGACGTGTTATATGACTTGAATCAAGAAAAAAGTGTGCAAAGGTCACTACACTGGTTCTCGAATGCAGTGTTAAATAAGGGTTCTCACATCATAGACGGATGTGGGTAAGGAAGATAAAACATAAAACTAGAATTAGAATAAAAACTTGAGATATAGATTCTCTTATAGACAAATTAATGAAACTAATAGATATTATGATTCATAGAAAGATAAATATTTTATATATTCAGGAAACTAAATGAGTTGGAGAAAAGGTTAAAAAAATTGATGATTTAAAATTTAAACTATGGTATTCAAATTGAAATCATACTAAAAATAGTGCATTTGATCATATATAAAAGTTTGAAATATAATGTTGTAAAAATTAATAGAATTAAAGATAGAATAATAAATTTAAATATTATTGTTGATATTAATATTATTAATAATATTATAAGTGATTATACTCAAATAGGTTTGAATATATATTAAAAACTAAATTTTAGAATGACTTTAAAAAAATATTGTCAGTGTAAAACTTATTGAATAATCATGATAATGACATAAAAGAATTAATAGAAAGGATATCTATTGAACAAAGAGTTTTTATTGGAGGAGATTTAAATGGAATGTTGGTAGAATTGAAGAAGATTATAAAAGAATTCATGATGACTATGGGTTTGGAGTGAGACTAATGAAAGTAGTATGACCATATTAGATTTTGCTCTAGTTATGATTTTATAACTGCTAATATTTTATTTAAGAAAATAGAGGAGCATCTCATCACTTATGAGAATGGACACAGTAAAAATCGAATTGATTTTGTTCTTATAAGAAAATAATTAGTTTAGAGTGCGAAAATTATAAGGATATTCTGATTGAAAGTTTATGTAGCCAACATCACTAATTAGTATTAGAGTTTAAGATGAAAATAGTATGGCAATACTAAAAATAAAGTAAAATATTATCCTAGGATTTGACAAAAGGTATTTATAGAATGCTAATAAAAATAATTTTGAACATTAGATTCAAGATCTCAAGATTTGAGATGTTCATGAGGAAGCTATTGTTATGCAGGAAAGAGTAATTGGTGATATTAAAAATGTTGAAAAAAATACTTGCAGTATCTCAAAAGAAAAAACTCATAATAGTAAAAATAATTGGTGATAAAATTAAAATGTGTAAGAAAAGATTTAAAAAAGAAGCATTATTATAAAAATAAGTTTAGATGTAAAAGCTTAAATATTTGCGAAAAATATAAAGGCTCATAGGGAGTCTGAGAAAGTTATTTGAGATGCAAATAATTTAGGTTTTAATGATTTATATAATTGATTTGATACTAAAGAGGATAAAAAAAAATATAAGTTAGTCCAGCAATAAGATATAAGAAATAAAGATTTAATTTAAGTGAAGTGCATTAAGGATGAAGATTAAAAAAAATTAGAATAATATATCCAATATATATGAGTAAGATATTTCAATAAGCTTCTCAATGATGATTGTGAAAATACAATTGACTCTAGTAACATTAACACCATAAAAGAAAATAGATTTCTTTTTTTTGCATAATATTATTAAAACTAAAGTTGGAGATGCTTTAAAAAAAATAAAGTGTGAAAAAGCAATGGGACCTAATGATATTCCAATAGATAGGAGATCAATGAATTTCTTGGCTTACTAAACTTCTTAATATTATTTTAAAGACTTAAAAGAAGCATGAGAAGAAGAGTATTAATTCCTATTTTTAAGAATAAAGATGATGCATAAGAGTATGAGAATTATAAAGAAATTAAAATAATGTGTCAAACATTAAAACTATGAGAGAGAGTAATTGAGCATAAGTTAAGGCGAGATGCTAATGTTTCTCAAAATCAAGTTGGATTCATGTTGGGTAAGTCTATCATAGAAGTTATACATTTGTTGAGAGGTTTAATGGAGAAGTATGAAGATAATGAGGAGAATCTATATATGATATTTATTGATTTAGATAAATCATATGATAAAGTTCCAAGAGAAGTACTCTGGAGAGCATACTTGTTAGCGGCGAATGGCGCACCATGGCGCAAATGTCCTATTTGAGCCATGGAGCATAACGCATTGTGCGGCACGTGCTATTTTGAA